TTTGAATTTTTCATTTCAAACATCATTAGTAATCCATTGTTGAAGATAAATGTAGTAACTATTGCCTTTTGAAGCTAACCATTTCCTTGATTTTCATTCTTGTTAATATTGTATTGAGAACTAACCTATACACACAATAGAACAATGTTTAAGGCAAAAAATTACAGCATGAGTCGACACATTTTAGTTACATAACCAGGCATGAGTCGACACAAGACATTATGAGTCGATACATACTGCTATCCAGACCCAAAAACAGAAAGACTAAAGGTGTATGAGTCGACACAAACAATAAATGAGTCGACACATACCCTTATGTATCGACTCATACTGAGCTGATTTTGGTTTTACAGGAATAAGAAAGGTTATGTGTCGATGCAAAGATGCATGTGTCGACACATAATGGTTAAAAAATGTTTTTTCCTTTATTTTGCATTGTTTTTATATTTTCTATATATTTTCTTTCATTGCTATTCAATATGGTTGTAATAATTAAGACCTTTATTGCTTTTCACCCCCCATTTGTAATATTGTACCCCCATCCCTCAAGTGATGTAATAACGTAAGATTTTAATTTCCGCAATTTATCACTTTTATATAAAATACTAGTAATTAGAGTGTGTGTGGCAAGATAAAAAATCAACAAGTAGACAACCCTAATTCAAGAACAACAATGCATGAAAAATAAACACTTTGCACACTTGCACCTCTAGGATAACCCACACTTGTTGCCTCAGATAAAAATAGTCATGTCTCTCGAACGTGGGATACTTTAGCAATGACCCTCAAATACAAGATCGTAGTCCCTCGATGACCCTTCAATGTTGCCTTCGTAAACAATCTTAGTCCCTTACGATAAATTGCTAAGATATCCTACAATGCTGCCTTCTATGATTATACGATGATCCACGCTCGTTCCTTCACATCCAATGATAGGGCTTCTTACCAATCAATGGTAAGATAGAAACATCTAAAGGAGGAGGAAAAGAACAAAGACTTTTTGAGTAGGTATAACATTCGTAGTTGCTTTCTCATAACCATCTTCAAAACATCTTTCAAAAACACCAACACTTTTCCATGAAATATTTTTAAAAGTCAACACTTTGTATGCATTCTTATAGAGACGAGAATCATTATAAGGTTCGCCTAAACAAAGGCACCTTTCAAAAATACTTTCAAAAACAAATCACAAACACATTTCAAATAAATCATTTTCAAAGTGAGCTAGCAACTAAGAGCCCGTAGATAACTACAGATGAAAAGGGTGTTAACACCTTCCCTTTTCATAACCTACCCCCCGAACTCAAGAAAATTCTCAAAAGGTATTTCCTGTTCTTTTCACCCTTTTCTTTATTGGATAAAAGAAAAGTCGGTGGCGACTCTTGCTATCTACAACAATTGCGATAAAATGCAAAACACCCAAGTCAATTTTCCCACCATATTACACATACCATTATGTATCGATTCATACTGAGTTGTTTTTTACTTCCAGGAGCAAGAAAATGACACGTGTCGACGCAAAGCAGATATGTGTCAATGCAAAACAGAAAAATGAGTCAATGCAAGTCTTCAAAATATTTTATTTATCATTTATAACTTTAATATATTCCTATTGTTATTTCTTTCTAAACCAAAAGCCAAAAAAAAACATTTTTTATTAAAATAATTTTCTTTTCTTAAAATTAATATACTAATTTAATTTAATTAAAACCTTTTCACAAAAATCCTAAACTTGTTTCTTCAATCAAATTAATTTTCTTAATTAACTTAAGTTTAATTTTCTTAGTTTAATTAATTTATTTTCTTTTAATTAATTAGGTCAAAACCCTTTCTTCATAACAAAAACATTTTCGTTTCTTTTCATATCATTTTATTCTTTGTACATTCTATTTACATTTCTTGTACATTATCGTTCAATTCAATATGGTTGTAATAGTAAATTAGGATTTATTTGCTTTCATCCCGCATTTGTAAATTTGTACCCCCATCCCCAAATGATGTAATAGTGTAGAATCTTTATATTCCGCAATTTATCGCATTCAAATATAAATGCTAGTAATTAGGATTTGTATGGCAAGATAAAATCAATAAATAGAAAATCTTAATTCAAAGATAAAAATGCATGAAATCAAAACACTTGCACACTTGCACCTCTAGGATAACCCACACTTGTTGCCTCAAATTTAAATAGTCATGTCCCTCAAATGTGGAATACTTTAGCAATAACACTCGAATACAATATCGTAGTCCCTCGATGACCGTTCGATGTTGCCTTCGGTAAACGATCTTAGACCCTTACAAAAAATTGCTAAGGTATCCTACAATGTTGCCTTCTATGACTATACGACGACTCACACCCGTCCCTTCACATCCAATGATAGGACTTCTTATCAATCAATGGTAATATAGCAAGATATAAAAAAGAAGGAAACAAACAAAGACTTTTTGAGTAGGTAGAACGTTCATAGTTGCTTGCTCACAACATTTCAAAACATCTTTCAAATACACCAACACTTTTCCATGAAATATTTTCAAAAGTCAACACTTTGTATGCATTCTTATAGAGACGAGAATCATTACAAAGCTCGCCTAAACGAAGTCACTTTTAAAAAATACTTTTAAAACATCACAAACATATTTCAAACAAAGCATTTTAAAGTGAGTTAGCAACTAAGAGCCCGTAGATGACTACAGATGAAAAGGGTGCTAACACCTTCCCTTTTTATAACCTACCCCCCGAACTCAAGAAAATTATCAAAAAGGTCTTTCATGTTCTTTTCACCCTTTCCTTTATTGGATAAAAGAAAAGCCGGTGGCGACTCTTGCTATCCGCAACAATTGCGATAAAACACAAAACACCCAAGTCAGTTCTCCCGCCGTATTACAGCAGGCAAGGGTAACAGGTCTTTAACCTTGAATGGACGGAAAAAGTCTAAAACTTATAGAGCCTCGGCCTCAACGACACTCAATTTCTCATAATCAAACCCAGATATGGACAAAGGATTCCACGTCCAGTATAGAGGAAATTTGGGATGACCATCAGTATCATAAATAACCGGAGGACACCTCGGCCTACACCTAACTCGGAGGAACCGATCCTTGAAAATTTTATAGTTAGTAATAAAGGCTTGAAGGAAACCCCTAGGAGGTATGCCACTAATGGCCACCTAACTCCCAGAATCCACATTATTCACTTCAAAATAGGAGAAAAACAAACCAATCGTCAAAGTTATGTCCAACGCTTCACATATCACTTCAAAAGCTTTGATAAAAGCCCAACTGTTAGGGCAAAGCTGGGAAGGAGCTACGTTCACCGTCTTCAGAACATCTACTTCAAAGTCGGTAAAAGGAATTCAGACATACATATCTTCCAGCACCCCGACGTAGAAGTAAAACCACTTATTCTCCACTCCTTTAGGCCGAGACATACACACCTGTTCGTCGGGGATGCAGGCTTCCAAGATCACATTATCCTCACTCCCAATCGAGGGTATGTCTTGCAGAGAGCGAAGGTTCGTTATCTCCACTTCACCCAAGGTACTCAGGTCGTAACCCATCACTTCCTCACTAAAGGAGTTGGAAGTTTCCATCAGAGTCTCCACAAAACCTGAAGAATCAGGATCAGAATCACTTTCAGAAGTGAGAACCTCACTATAAACCTTGTCTATGACCCGAACGTACTCATTTATACCTAAAGCAACTCTCATCTCTTACATGCATTCATCACACACAACCCTCCGTTCAACATCACTTTTACGTTTTTTATCCCCGAAATTGTCACACTCTCTGATAGTGACCATCTCTAAAAAATAAAAAGAATGCACAAAGAAATAAGTTAAGGAAGAGAAGAATATCTAATAAAGCAAAGATCAAATTGAAGGAATTTCAGATAGACGAGTAAAAGTGCTTGCAAAAGGGAAGTAAGAGAGTCTTATGGAAGTAAAAAAGGAAAATTCTTGTATAAAAGGAAACAAAGGATAGAAAAATGCCTTGGAAGAGGAAGCGTATGCGAGTGCCTAAAGAGCTGCCTAAGTAATAATTACGCCTAAAAACTAGGTGACTGTTGAGAAGCAAGGGCGTGTCCGACACACAAACCTACGTGTCATCGATCAACCACAGAGGTTCAACCCGGAGCATAGACCCATCTATTTGTTGACCGACCACAAGGCTTCAGGAAGAAGCCATATGCTCGTGGGGCTTATGTTCATACATACGTCCATAACCCGGGTTAGAAGATTAAAAAGGCAAGACATGACTAAATGATCAAGAAAAGGAAATAAGCAAGTAGCCGATGACATACCCCGAAGATGGACCACCAAGCCTAAACCAACCTGTAAGGTCGGAGATACCAGTGGCCGGACAAGGAAGGAGATAAAGAGTCATTAGTCGGGTACATACCACGAATCCAGAGGTTACCTTCAGCCTGACCTTAATGATACAGTTACACAATGGCCGACCATTTGAAGGAGTAACGCCCATCAATGTCCGACGACACACGTCATGATATCAAGCCATCATTGGCAACGGCGGACATTACTTGCCTTAAAGGCAACCCAGTTACATAATATGAAGGGTCACAGCAATTACATACAGTGATTATTGAGGTCCATTCACCTCTATAAAAGGACTCCCGACTGAGAAGTAAGCATGACACATCGTTGAGCCTCAGAATCCCTCAAAATCATATATAACTCACTCACATACAGTATAAAGCCACCCCTGAAGATCCATAATTATCAAGAAGGCCGGATATTTGGTGTTTAGCAAGAACACTAATAAAAAAAGATTGAGAAATGTTTTTCTTGTCTTTCATGTAAAAGATAATATATTCATATCAATACGTAAAAGATTTTACAACCGCTTATTTTGAATCCGAGATTTCCACACTCAAGGGGACAAACGATTTTACAACCACTTCTGTACAGAAAGCTCTATTGGTAGTTTGAATCCATTGAGAGGAAGAAAACGCGATGGCGATAAAATGCTATAGTGACGACACATCATGCAGGAATCCGATAAGATGGATCCACCATTTTCAAGATGAACAAGTTTCCTTTGTCCCCTCTTGATACCCTGTCAAATTATTATAATCAGAAATTATGACAACAAGTACTTGATATAATATCTATCTATGCAACATGAACATGATAAAAGTTGAGCAATTTAATGTTGATATTAGGCCGAATATAGTTTATGAACATACTAGAATAAAACGCTGTACTCCTTTTATCTCTACATATGTAATATGGAACTCACCTAAGTTCTTCATCCAAATATGTTATTTCCAGTTCGCCACGAGCCGTGTCAGGAGCCTTAACGGGTATCTGTAAATGTACATTATGATCAATGGAATTATGGTACTAACATTTATACACAGTACTTAGTAGAACTACAATTTAGAGAGTCTGATTACTCACGAAGCCTCCAATTTTGAAGGTATCGAATTTCACAGCCACTTTCCTTGTATTCAGAGGTGTTAAATCTGCTGTCACCTACAAATTGTTGATTCATTTGCAAATGCAAATATTAGAGTAAGAACACATAAACGGCGAGAACTTGTCTCAATTTCAATTAGTGTGACCTGGTTGAAGAATGGTCGAGATTCCATGTTTTGGGCTCGGAGAGTATCAGCATTGATTGCTTGATAATTTGTAACTGATCTCAAAAACTTTGGTCTCTGTCATTACACAACATGAAGGCAAAATGTAGATGAACATCAATATCAGTGTCTAAGAGACGAACTTATAAAAGAAAAAACAACATTGTCAAAATGTGAAGTTATTTCTATAAGCTCCTCTAAAATAGTTTAAGAAAACAAGTTGTAGTTTATATGAAAACAAAATGACTTACGTATAAACACTTATGCGATAAACGCTTATGCTATAAGTGCTTAATTAAACAATTTAACGGCAGCATATGGTAAGGAAAAAGAAATGGTTAACCTTAATTTGCAAGATTGACTGAGAGGTAGTGTAAATAAGCTCCCATTTTCCATCAAGTAAATTAGATTTGAGAGGCTCCTTAGTTGGATTAAGTGCTTCAAGTTTGCGTGCAATCTATGAATGAAGAATAAAAATGCATGCATAAAGTTGAAAAGATGCAAAAATAAAAGATGTAGAAGACAACCGACCTGATCAACACTTTGTTGGTCTTCAGGAGTGGCATCAGCTCCTCGATCAAGCGAAGCAATGGCTTGAAGAAGGTCTTCCTTAATGATGCTAACATCTTTGGGTTTTATAAAGAAAGAAGTAAAGAATGATACATTAGTTGTCCATTTTTGAGAGAGGGGAAGGGTGTTGTGAGTGTGGTGGATGAGAGGTTTGAAAGGAAAGTGAGAAGAAGAAGAAGAGGAAGATGGTAGACAATGGAGTGATTTGTGAGGTGAATAATCAGTGGTGTTGAGAAAGAGAGAACAAGTAGAAGATAAGGCCATAACCATGAGATGGTTTGGTTTGGTTTACTCTGAAAGACATCATCACTCATGTAATGCTTTGATTTCTGCACATGTGGCTGTCTAGAGTCCAATTCATATCCAACGCTTGGTAGGCATGCCACTAGCCATAATTCCTCTGCATTTTCAACTTGTTAATGATTTCGGCAGTTGATTTCAGATCCAACGGTTCAAATTTTAAACTATTTTTTATGCAGTAAAAAATCTCAACCGCTGTTTTTTTTTTTATCGGACCACGTGTTATCATGTAATAACAAGAAATCTTGGGTCTACATGTCAGACTCTTAGGTTTAGCTCAAAATTCTATTCATTTCACATTTAGGACATTATATGTCTTTCATACCATCATTTATAAAATATGAATTAATTTATCAATTAATTGACATTCACATTAATTATAAATATAGGTTAATAATATGCACTAATTTTTAAACATTTATTTAATCGTACAGTCGATTTTCTAACTTCAATTATATAAACAACAATATTTTTTTAGAGATGTACATTAAAATGAACAACTACAACTTATATTTCATAGATACGTTTATATCTATTCGTGAATCTATACATGTAAAGACTTTCATTACGATGAAAATTCTATCGTTGTTAAATTGAGAAATAGCAAAAGAAAGATTTAAAAGATGGAATAATAAAATAAATGTTCCAATAAGTAGATTTTTTTTGTTTATAAGCGTCTCAAACTTGTGTGTCCATTTATAAAAAATATTTAAAATTTATTTCCGTTTATAAATATAATTTTATCAATAGTTGAAATTTTTCTGTTTATAAAAATATTTGTAATTTATTCTTGTTTATAAAAATTATTGTAATTTATTTTCGTTTGTAAAAGTAATTATATCAGTATGTAGATTTTTTTCAATTTATAAGTGTCTTGAACTCATGTGACAATTTATAAAAATATTTTAACTTATTCATGTTAAAAACAATTATATTAATATTTAGATTTATAAAATTATTTGTAATTTATTCTTGTTTTTATTTTCTTTAATCTCTGTGCTATTCTTTGTAGTTTTTATTTTTTAATTTTAAATATTTATTAAAATAAATAATAATATAATATTAATTAATGAATTTTTTTATAATGATAAATTTTAAATAATAACTTGAGACATCAACCGCCATCATATTTTTAAATTTAATGTATTTAATTTTATATTAATATATTTTTATGATATTAAATTATATTTATATACTATATTTATTTTTAAAAAATTATTTTAAAAAAATTATATAATATTTGAGTGTTATTTCACTGATTATTATATATATATATATATATATATATATATATATATATATATATATATATATATATATATATATATATATATATATATATATATATATATATATATATATATATATATATATATATGTGTGCAAACATCCACTACTTCAGGACAATGATAAGAATGGGAAAACAAAACTTAAAATTTTACCTAAACCTTTCAATTGAGTGGATCTTGGGAAAGGTAGGGATGCAATTGAGTGAATCTTGCAGCCTCTATAATTGTAATGGTATGCTTGCAGTTTTGCAACTTCTCCATGTTGGAAGTTGTGATGTTTATGGTTGCACATCAATTGTTTAGCATTGGAATTGCAAGTGTTATGGAGCGCTATACAATATATGGATAACTCAAGGCATCGTTTCATATTGTACATCTAATAATTAGGGTGTTGTAATGTAGGTTGCAAAAAATAAAATAATTATAAAATGCTAATAAAAAATCTGAGTGTGCCAACTCAGCTGCATTTAATACCAAATCAATATAAAGAGATTTAGTATTTGATAAGTCGGAGAAGATCTTGTTCTCTATTGGAGGCTTCGACTTCATCTTTGTCAAAGTGAGTTTCGAGGGAGATGGAGTCGACCTTTGATAGAGCTCGTTGTTCTTGGATCCGAGCATGCTTCGATTCAGGTCGAGTAGTGGTTGCTTTTTTGGCGGGTCACGCTCCAGTGTCGACCATGCTCTTGTCTTTGGAGGTTGCGTGAAAACATCTTATGGAAGCTGAGATGTCTCCATAGATGGTGGCGACGCGTCCCCTCCTGGTATAGAACTTCATTTTCAGATGGACGGTAGAGGGTACGGCGGTCAGCTCAGCCAGTGTCGGTCTCCCCAAGATGCAGTTGTAGAGAGACAAGTAGTGGATCACCATAAATTGCACCTTGACTTGTCAGGATGAAGTTTCTTCCCCGAAGGTGACAAAGAGCTCCATGTAGCCCCACGACTTGGAGGTCAAGTCGTTTAATCCTTACAGGTCAGACCCCACTTATGGTGACAGGTGGGCATCGTTGAGCTGCAGGGTTTGAAACAAATGGTTGTACATGACGTTGATGGAATTCCCCTCGCCGACCAGAATACGATGTACATCAAAGTTGGTCATCCTTGCCCTCACCAGCAGGGGAATGCTTGAGTTTGGGGCTCCGCCAGGAAGATCCTCCGGGTAAAAAGTGATTGGTTCAGATTTTCCTTTGAACCTTTCAAGCATTACTTCTTGGGTCGGGAGTGTGTCCACCAAGTCATCGAGCTTCCTCTTCATCGAGTTCACTGAGATATCGTTGAATCCCCTGTCAAATATGACTGTGGAAGAGGGGAATTTCTCCCATCTGCTGTGCATGGACAAGGGTTCATCTTTGTAGCTGTCGGGGACGTGGAAGTCTTATGGACTTGTTACAGATAAAGCCACCTGGACGGGGCCCGATTCATCGGATGGTCGGGTTTCTTCCTTGACTTCTTTTGCCTCACGGGTGTCCTAGCGAGGGGCATCGTTGCATATGTACTTCCCAAGTCTCCCACCCTTGATGAGAGTCTCAATGGAATTCTTGAGGTGGACATAGTCTTCCGTCAAGTGCCCATGGCTACGATGGTGCTGATAGTATTTTGTTCTGTCTGCCTCGAGCTTTACAGGAGCGGGTTGATGACGTCTGATGCCACCGTCCTTGAACTCGTTATTAGAGCACTCCGCAAGGATATGCTCGCAGGAAGAGGTCAGCATGGTGTACTCTATGAACCTCTATGTTGGTCCTCTATGCTCATGGGGATCGCGCGGTTTCTCCTCCCTTCTCTTCTCCCCAGTCGGTCGAGAAGGACCCACGTCCTGGTGCCGTGGGATGTTAGCTGGTTCAGGGTTCTTGGAATTGTGGGCTTTATTGACCGCTTCTTTCTCCTCGTAGTCTATGTATGCCCTAGCCTTTTTGAGGAGAGTGTCGAAAGACCGGGGGGCTCAATGTAGAAGACCTTTCTGAATTTAGTGCCCAGAAGGAGTCCTCTCTCGAGCAGGTATCTTTTCATGTGATCGGTGCACGAGACCTGAATGGCCTCGTGGTTGAACCGATCAGTCTATTCCCCGAGGTTCTCGTTGCTTCTCTAGACTATTGCCTCAAGGGCAGCCTCCGTCTTCGGATGTTGACGAGACACAGTGAAAGAGCTGATGAACTGGTTCTTAAGGCTCCTCCAGGAGGTGATCGACCCGGGGGAGAGGTTCTTGTACCAGTCTATGGATCTTTTTCTCAAGGTGGTGGGGAACAACCGACATTTAATTGGCCCCCCGACATTGTGGTAATGGAGCATTACTTCAAACCCGTCGATATGGTCAACAGGATCTGCAATGTTGTCGTACTCCTTTAGTAGGGGAGGCTTCTCCATTCCCCTAGAAATGAGAGCCTCCATGATTGTTTGGGACAATGGACCACGGGGGTCATCTTTGTAACTTATGTCTAGAGAGCGGGAAGGGGACTAGTTGTAGTGGTGGTCATTGTGATGGCCTTGGCCGCAGGGAGGATTCTTTGGTCGAGGTTGTCCTTCTCAGTTTCCCATGTTTATATTGTTTCCATGGGATCGTCGCTTCCTATACGGTGGGGTGTGACTGCGCCTCCCCGTAGCTTCGGGCTGGCTCCTTTCCAACGTAGGACGTCGACCAGTTCGTCACGGGGAAGGGCTACGCGAGATATCCCGTCTGCGTCTCCACAGGGGAGTTTGGGGAAGTCTTCGTTATGTCGGGGAGGAGGAGTGTTAGGTCTTCAGTGCCTTCTGGGGGCCCAGCGAGTTTGCTCGAGCATTCTCAGCCGCTCACCCTATGAGAAGATCATGTAGTTGGTTTGGTTGATGGCCGCAAACAGATCTCTGGTCGTGGCGTCTGCACCTACTGGAACGGGGACCTCTTAAAATGTGTTTGGTTCGTAGTTCTGGGGAGAACGATAGTCGTTCTTGCGCGATTGCAAGCGGGATGATGAAGAGGGAGTCAGTCCATCTCTATAGTTTTGCTCGGGACTGACCATGTTGATGTTGTTGTCGGTGTTGTTGTTGCTGACAATGTTGTCGTTGACATTATTGTTGTTAGGGTCAGCGAGGTGGGTGTTTCGGTTATTATTGACAACTTGGTTGGCCATGATAATCGTACAGTTTGATGAAGAGTTGCTTTGGTCTTGAGAGGAAGACAGAGAAGCTGCTTCCCGCAGACGGCGCCACTGATCGTACCTGACCAGAAGGGATTGTCAAAGCCTTCAAGCTTTGAGTCGAGTAGCAGTTGGAAGCAAAGTAAGGGGGTACATGCAAGATACTCTGATGCCAAAGTAAGGTCTAGAGAAAGTGCTAGCAAGTATGAGAATATTAGTGAGTGATTGAATACCTGACCCCCTCAAGTGATAGGGTATTTATAGCCCCCAATGTTGGGCCAAGGTCTTCAATAATGGGCCATGATGAGGCCCAACAATGAAGACTGCCATGGTTTACGCGTGTATAGACTCCAACGCGTGGCCTCCTCCCTGGTCAATTGTCCCGAGAAAGCAGGAGCTAGACCCGTTGTTCTCGGAGGGCGGGATGATGATGATATGGATACGTGAGCTACATTCTCCTAGCGAACATGTGGGGAAATGCCCAACAGTCCTTAGATTTAGCTGCATACTTTTGAGCCTTTGGTAAAGGCGTTGGATTGTGCCTCCCCAACGATGGGGCAAGTGT